TAATTTTCAATTGCGTCTGAACCTACTATAAGCGAGAACACTGATATTGAAAGGTACTGTTCATTACAATATAATGTTCCTGATCACTTATGCAGTGTTGACTGCTCAATAAAACATTGGTATCTTGATATATTTCACAGGTTCCTGCCACAAAAGAAGTATTAGGCTCTCTCCCAAATGTGTTCAGTGCTTTATGTTTAAATGCAAGAGGCCTGCAAGCATTTGTCAAATGCAAACCATTTGAAAAATTGTTCAAAGTGCTGTTGTCACCTGACTATTTACCTGCCATGAGAAGAAGAAGAAGTTCTGAACCTGCTGGTGAGTACTAGAACTCAAATTAAGCCCTAAAAAAATGATTTTGTGTCTCGTCATCTCACATGTAGGCTTCATTAGTTTTGTTTTAATTCTAATGTTGCATATTGTTCATTTATTTCTGTTGAATGTTTTCATTTGCCTTTCTATTCCCTGCCGCAGTTCGATCTGTGTGTTGTCAATTAAATGTTGAACATATAGCTTATTGTTGTGGTATTGAATAATCTTAATACCAATAAAAAGTTATGAACAAAATTAAAGCCGTGCCACCACATTATTTGCAAAATTGTTGGTTTTTGATGAGTTTAATGTGAAATATAAGAAAAAAAGTATATTCGCTGGATTTTATTTCACGGAATCATCCCTTCAGCGAAAATAGTGAAAATAAATTCCAAGCAAAAATAAAGTATTCAGTATTTACATTCAAACTTGTATTAAAAAAATGATAATTTTGGGGGATACATTGTTTAACTGGTTCAAATTCATCACATTAGTAGTATGCCGTTTTTTCCCAACTATAAATAACTCATTCATTGCACACACAGGTGATACAGCATCAAATTTGGGAAGTGCCATGGATGAGTTAATGAGACACCAACCATCCCTCAGAACTGATGCCACTAAAGCTATAATCAAAGTATGTATAACATTGTCATATTGTTACATACACCAAAAAACTTTGTTTGCTAGACATGTACCAGAGACTATAGTTGGTCAGTCTATTCGTCCCAAATCTGTTAGTCCAGCAGGTTGATTTGACCCAAATTGATTCAGTATATTTTTCCTATTTATTAGCTCCATTGTCAACGTTGTCAAGCAAAACTTATTATATGAGTAATTGTCCCTTGTTGATCGCTTCTCTTTTTTACTTTTTCAACTTATTCTTGAAAACTACAACTCTGAGTGCTTTAATACTTAGGATATATATTCCTTGTTCATTTTGTGATGATATCTTTAATTCTCTTATTTTGATGAATATTTTGGTTATTTTTGGTAAAAAGTAATATTTTCGACTTCTTGTTGAAACTGCAAGTCTGATTGCTTTGATATTATACATATAGGTACCTCAGATTGACCTCTCTCAGATTTGTTCATTTTTTGATGATATCTTCAATCTCTAATTGAAATGTGGATTGCTAACAGCGGAGCTTTCTCAACTGAGAGGTAGCTTGATAAGTTAGTCCGATAAAAATTAGTCATACAAGATCCAAACAACAAACTGTATCTCATTGTAGTCATGTACTCAGGACAGCACCTTGAAATACCGAGATGAAAAAAATGCTATAGAACTTCATTTATGTTCACTGTGAAAACTGTTTGCCAATAATGTGGTAAAATGCCTCAAATTGTGTGAAATGCATCTTGGTGTAAGCAGAACAAGCACAGCTTGGTCCCTCAGATATTGTTGTCATCAACATTTGTGATAAAAAGCAGTGCAATATTAATGAAACATTGAATGGCTGAACATATTGTGATACATATTGACTGTCACTGTACATGCCATTCACTGTTTACAAATGTTACATGATGGTAACCATACATCTAAACCCATATGTTTTGGTCATGTGACTATGATGAATGTCATTATGTGGCCAACTACTATCACAATTTGATACAAGATGACAGATTTAAGTTGTAAAAAATGCTGCATTCTGATCTGTGATTCAGGCATGTGATTCAGGATTATACATGATGCCTGGAAGATTTTCTAGAGCCTTGTTTGCTATTTTCCTTTTCTGATTTTATTCACTTAAAGTAAATATACATGGAACACATGTGCGGATGCTTTTCTATATATACATGTAATCTTACAATTAAAATATTCAGGACCGTGTCGTGTCATGATTTTGTTCCCTGTTTGGACGTACTCCGAAAACAGACATATACTGGATTCAGCTGATACCCCGCCCTGGGCGATCTTATGGAGGATTCAATTTTTTTTTTGAAAAATGTGGACCAAAAGATCGCCCGGGCGATCTTTTGGCAGATATTACGAGGCCCATCTTGTCTAAAAAAATAACCCTGCGTTGACAGAAATGGTCTAGAAAAAATAATGTTTCGCGTTGACCAAATATAATCATGCGAAGTATAAATTCAAAGTGTTTTAATACATTGGTGAGAGGTCGCATTTTACGTGAACAAGAACATGCACTAAGAAGGAAAAGCAAGTCAAAGTCGAAACGGGGTGCATCATGGACATGACACAACACACGCTGCGACAACTGAGTGATTAGCGACATAATTTTGGGACGCAATTGAACTTGAAGTACTTCTTTGCGAAACTTGCTGCGCGGTTTAGGATGGCCGAATCCAGTAATTTCACCTCTGTACGTTCGTCTGTCTCATGAAAATTATCTGACTCATGGCCATTTTGTTTTTATACCAAGTGCTGTTTTTGCTAACATGAATGGACTGATCTGATTCACGATTGCTGATCGCTATTTTTGTGCTAGAAATGCATCATGGACAGAATAAAGGAAGGATCCATTTGTATTGTGTTGAAAGAATTATTTGGCACTAATGTTTACAGTCACTAAATACAATGTATTAGTCAAGAACTTGTCATTGACAATGACCTGTTTATGTTATAGTTGTTGGAGGAAGTATGTGCAATGGGCAGAGATATGAAATTCATCTGTAGTCGGAGTTCAGGGAAGTCTGAGACAGTCACCACTGCTGTTCTAAGAGTGAATAATGCGGAGAATGAAGTATCTAGTGAAGATGAAGAGGACGAAGATGATGTTTCTAGTACAACTAGTCAAACTAGTGCACCAAAGACTGACATGGAAGCACAGTAAGTTACAGGGAATTAAAAATAGTTTTCCAGATTCACAATTTGCATTCTTTCTTAAATGTATACAAGTAGGTCCTGTAACAGAATATCACATATTCAATGACTTTCTTTTTTATGGAGGAGACTTGGTCTTCAGGGCCTATTTTGAAATATATTTGATGTGATTTTTTTTTACTGAGTAACAAGAATGAAATGAATGTGTGATCAGTAAATTAACTCTGAAAAAAACAAAAACAGTTGATACTTTCTGTGTATTCTCAAAAATTTTATGTGATTTCAAATTTGCCCATTCGTCATCCAGCACATGTTTGAATTTGGGTGTGCATGTTTTCAGATTCATATCAAGCACAATGCATAATGAGTGATGTTGAATATTTTCTTTTTTAATTGCACCACAAAATCGCAGATGTGTCTGATACACATGATCAATTGTTTGTGTTCTATCTTTAAATCACCTTCAAGATTTGATAATATTCTCAAAGTAAGCACAGCTTGGTCCCTCAGATATTGTTGTCATCAGTATTTGTGATAAAAAGCAGTGCAATATTAATAAAACATTGAATGGCACAACATATTGTTATCAACATTGACTGTCACTGTACTTGCCAATCACTGTTTACAAATTGCATTTGTAATGGAAAAGTACATGCATGTACCTTATAGCTAGAAGCGGGTGCACTTGTACTAAATGTTTTGGTGCTTCCTTAAATGTGTCGTCTGCATATGTAGGCATATAATCAGGTTTGTATTTCTTGCATGAGCAAAAAAAAGAAATTCTCTGTACTATATTGCTGTGACTGCAGTATTTCAAAAAACTGTTTGTTTGTAGAAGGCCTTTTATTTTCCAATTCACCAAACAGTCCAATTTTTGACTGTACATGTTGACAAGCATAGACAATTATTGATACTTTTGATATGTTTTTTCTTCCCTAGACCTCCAGGATCAGAAACCAGGACCCCTATACCTTTATTGGATTATGTTCTCAATGTGGTAAGTGAAACATGTTTTGTTGTCTATATTTGCCTTTATGTGTGATTCAGTGTTTCTGAAAATGCACGGTTGTTTATCTTCTTGTTTGATGTACCTAAATATTTTTTTTTCTTTAGATGAAGTTTGTTGAATCTATCCTAAGCAATAATACAACTGATGATCACTGCAGAGAGTTTGTTACTCAGAATGGTCTTATACCTCTCATGGGCATCCTAGGCCTGCCAAATCTACCTATTGATTTTCCGTCAACTCCTGCTTGTCAAGCTGTAGCTAGTGTCAGCAAGTCTGTTTTGGTAAGTTTACTGTGGCAAGTCTGCTGTTCAGTGGACAGTGCTCATTGTATTACAGATTTACCTATCAACACTGAGGTTTTGTATTTACTACCAATTTTGCTTATGTGAATTCTAATTGTTGAACTGAATCCATGTTTTCTGTACTTTTTTCTACAGACTTTAGCCCATGAACCCCAAGTATTAAAGCAAGGTCTGCTTCATCTGAATGAAGTGTTGCAGTCATTGGAACCTCTACACCAACCATTAGAAGCACCAGGTGGCTCTGTTCTTCTCAGAGAATTAGCCAGCTGCCCAAATATGGCTGAAGCGTCACTGTCTTCATCAGCAACACCCTTGTTGCATGCCATGTCTTCGGCACATGCATATATTATGATGTTTGTTCATGTATGTCGGGTTGGATCTGTGAGTGACATTCTTCTTTATATTAATCCTGAAGCTTTTAGTCTGATAGTTAGTTTTCAAGAGTATTAATGAATGAAATTATTATATTCTTCTTCACAAATCAAGAATGTTTGATTGCAGCAAATCTTGATCATTTTTGAATCCATGTTATTGGTAAATAAAGAAAAAAATGTTTTGAAACTGGCTGCTTTTTGAAAGTTTGGACATGCTTGCTAAAATGTGATTTGTTATTATTTGTGGTATTTCACTCAGTGTTAGACATCATTCTCATTTTATAATATTCTCAAAGTAAGCACAGCTTGGTCCCTCAGATATTGTTGTCATCAGTATTTGTGATAAAAAGCAGTGCAATATTAATGAAACATTGAATAGCTTAATGTATTGTGATGAACATTGGCTATCACATTATATGTTATTTACTGTTTACAAATTACATACTATGATGGCAGTAGTGCCTGAAGTGTTACGCTATTTTATTGGTGCTTTGATTTTGTTATGTCCTTATTGCTTTGTATAGTATCCCTATTGGGAAGATACCCTTGTGTTGGTACATTTGTAGGTTCAGATTGTGCACAAAGATAAATTTTTTCTTGCATTTATTGCTTGACATTACATGATAGTTACTGGAGGAATTATGTGCAATTGAGAGATACGAGTTAAATTTTATCCCACTGTGTGTATTGAATTGTTATTGAATTTGTTTTGTTTTCAGAGTGATATACGGTCAATCTCTATCAACCACTGGGGATCTGATCTTGGACAAAAAGTACTTGAGGGGCTCAGTAGGCTATATTCCTCCCTAGTCTGGGAAAGTACAATATTGCTGGCTCTTTGCACTCCTGATTCATTACCTGACACTTGTGAATTTGGAAAAGCTGATATGGAAAAGCTTCTGCCAAAGGACTTTCAACCAGATGTTGTAGCAAAGTCTGTGAAAGCTAAAGTTGAAGATAAAAATGAACCGTCTACAAGCAATAATTTAAGGACTAATGAATCTGCTACTTCACCGATGGACATTACTTCTGATGGAATTGCACCCATGGATATTGATGATGTGAAAGGTGATACCACTCAAGATGCCAAAAGCAAAACGAAAATGTCACCGCAACTTACGCACCAAGTTAAGCAAATCAAACCACTGCTTTCAGCTTCTTCCAGGCTTGGCAGAGCCTTAGCGGAACTTTTTGGACTCCTTGTCAAGTTGTGTGTAGGATCGCCTGTAAGGCAAAGGAGAAGTCATCATTTACCTACTGTTCCCTCCTTACCTCCTGAACCAGCTAGGCTAACAGCGACTTCTCTTTGTGGACTGTTAGAGAGTGGTCTTTCATGGACTCCACCAGAATGGTCACCTACTCCCAGGTTCAGGTATGGGTTCAGGAATTCCAAGTCCTGCATTTTCAGTTCTACATACTCTTTGTATTAGCTTTTGCTGTAATTGCCCTTCAGCCAAGCCATGTTTCAAAATATTGAAAACTGTATTTTTGAGGCTTCTCTGCAACAGTATCTTGACCATGGAAATCTACCTAAAAATGTCTCAAGTTGTTAATTAACATCATTATGGCTGTGACCATTTGGAACGTTGCAAATTCACCATCATGGATGTGAAATTTCAGAAAAGGGAGGCATTAACCTTTTCACCACCAGTTCCCTCCTTTTGTTTTAAATTCACAAAATAGTCCTGTTTATAGTCGGCACTTTCCGTCATAAGATTGGGACAAAAATAGTTGATTTTTTGAGTAAAAACTGAAAATTTAATCAAATTTTGTCTGTTGGCTCCAAAAATTAGGGTTAATAAAAGAAAATTAAAGGATGGATAAATTTCAAAGCAGTAGTAATATCTTAGCT